AATTTTTGGAGACCTAAATTTCCAGTTGGAGTAGAGGAATCTACTTAGTGGAATATTATGCAGTCATGAAAAATAGCATCAGGACAGAATTTTGAGCAGCATGGGAAAATGCTTATTTTATATTGATAAGTGGAAAAAACAGGATATGAGATCACAAATGTTGATCATAACTATCTTTCTTAGAAGTGACTTGTTTATTTTGGAACACGTCAAGACTTAGAAGTTGCAGAAACATAACAGTTCTTGACGGGCCTTCTCCTCCCGGCTCCCTCCGGTGATAACATCTCACGTACCCGTGACGATTGCATTTCTAAATGCGTAAAGACAGAAGCGGGTTCGAGACAGGGTGAACTCACAAGCGTTTTTAATCCCTGGCCCCAGATGAAACAGTGGTGTCTGCAGCAGTCTGTCCGCTCACACCGAGCTGGGGTCACTCACTTTTGGGCACCGACACCGTCTTGGCCTCTGGGCCGGTGGATCGTGGGTCTTCCGACGGCAGGACGCTTGTTTCTAGGTCACCTCTGGGGTGGCCGTCGTGTGAATGCTGAGCCGGTCCTGGGAGGCTGGGTCGGAGGGCAGGCCTGTGCCTCTGGCTCTGCAGCGGGGTGCCTCCCGCACTGTCCCCGGCCCATGCGGGGCCGCAGTGACTTCACCCAGACTCTTTCCTGGGTCTGGCCGTCACCCTGTGTTCTCGTCCATGCAGTCAGTTCTGCACATACATTGCGTAGACTGAACCCCTAAGGTCTGGGGTGCTGAGGTGACGAGGATGCCAGCCCAGGCTGACCCTCCCTGCCCTCGTCCCCAGTGCTTCTCCACACAGCCACTGCCAATGGCTTCCAGATGGTCACCAGCGGGGTCCAGAGCAAAGCCGTGAGCGACTGGCTCATCACCAGTGTGGAGGTGAGTGTCATCCCTAGCTGCTGTGCAGGACCCCGGGGGCGTGGTCCTGAGACCGCTCTGTCATCGTTGGAGCCTACCTTGACATGCAGGGGTTCGCAGCCAACAGTGCAAGGCTGCTCAACGTCCCCTGCCCCACCGCGTGTTAGCATGCGGGCTCAGGTCGAATTTGGGGTGCAGCCACACTGTTAGCCAGCCTTTCCCCCTCCAGGACTGAGTGAGGCAGCCTCAGGCCGTGCACACCCACGGCGAGAGTCCCTGCTTTTCTGCCTGTGCACAGTGAGCCCCTGCTGTGTGCAGAAGGCAGCGGCGAGCCAGATGCTGACCGTCCCTTGCGGTTCCTGCCGCACTTTCAGAGGGACGCCCAGGGACGTCCAGGCTGAGGCCTGCAGCTGAGCGAAGGGGCGGTGAGGAGCGGACCAAGGCTCCGGGCGAGCGGGCCGCCCTGCTGAGATCTGGGCTGGGGGGTGCAGGCCAAATCAGGACCAGGGCAAAGGGAAGCCGCTGCGGCCTCTGAGCATGCGCTGCAGTGACCAGATGGACATGTTTCTCAGAACTGCATAAGGGAGCGTGGGAATTCGGGCAGAGGACCCCCACCCTCACCGGCCAGGCCCTTGTCAGGCTCCCAGGGGTCAGGGTCAGTTGCCGTTGGTCCAGTGTCCTGGGGTCACAGCAGATGGAGCCACCGAGGGTCTTCGGGGCCCTTCACTGTTTGGGGTCCGCTGCAGCCTGCCAGCCACTGCCTCGCCCTTTGGCTCTGGAAGTGTCTGCTGCCGTGAGCCTTCCACAATCCTGTTATTCGCCAGGGGAGCAGGCAGCAGGGAGGAAGCGGGGGGCTTGGCTCTGCTCCCACTCTCCCCTGCCAGTGCTGGGACCCAGGCCCATGGGCTCATGGACTCCATGCCCGGCGACACCGTCCCTCCCGTCAGCAGAGCTCTGCCCTCCGAGACAGCGGCTTGGCGGGCTTGGTTCCGGGGCAGAGGCCCGCTGGAGACAAGCGGCAGACTCTCAGAGCCGGGGCGGTGGCCGGCCAGCTCCGGCCCTCGGCCAAGTCCAGCCCTCGGCCGTATCTGTAAATAGTTTTATTGGCACATGGCCACGCCCATTTGTTCAAACATTGTCCTCAATCGACTAATCTCAATAGAGACTGGAGCCGGCAAACCTAAAAGAACCCCTCCCACCCCTCTCTCGTGCTGAGGGGGGCAGCCTCGCCGTCGCTGGTGTCCAGGACCCCAGCTAGCCGGCATTTCACAGCCCGTCTCTCCACAGGGGCGGCTGACGGGGCTGGGTGGAGAGGACCTTCCTACCATCGTCATCGTGGCCCACTACGACGCCTTCGGAGTGGCCCCTGTATGTATGCACTTGCCCTGGTGGGGGCGAGGGTCACCCTTCCTCCCACGTGTTCTGGCCCAGCTCAGAGGCAGAAGCGTCTGCTGGACAGCGGCCACGCTCAGCAGCAGCATCCACTCTTGAGGCCCTTAGGGTGTTATCTCAGGTTCCCATGAGGACCCTGTGGGGTGGGTGTCATCGTGAAGCTGAGGCTAAGCTGGGGTGGGTCTCGTGCCCAAGGTCCCATGGCAAATAGGTGGCCGGGCCAGGAACTTGCCCAGGGTATGTGTTGGGGTCTCCAAGATACCCAGTTGATAATTTGTGGGGAGGACCCCAGGACTCAGCAGCGGTGGCCCCTACGGCCGTGGTCGGTGCGGAGACAGGACGGGGTGAGACATGCCGAGGGCAAGGATGGGGGGTGGGCTGGGGGCCCAGGCATAGCTCCTAGAGTCCTCTCCTTTGGGGTCACGGTCATTCCCCCTCAGACGAGACGTGACACACTGTGAGGTGCGGTCCCCAGGGGCCTCACAGAGACCCAACGCCTGGGGTCTCACTGGGGGCCGGTCACGTGGGCACCTCTGCCCAGCTCGTCCGAGGCCCCAGACCCCGGGGGACAGCGGGGCTCAGCATGACCCACCTGTTGGCAGAGCGTTTAGGGCTGGCGGCTGGCGGGAGTTGGCGGGAGCCCCTGGAGCTCCACTCAGCTGCTGTGGGGGGCCAGCCTAGCCAGCTGGCCTCTGTGGGTGGTGGTCTGGGCCCGCTCAGCCCTGCCCTCAGGCTGTGGCCCCCGCCTGGCAAAGCCAGGGCACATGTCGGAGTCGGGGTGTGCCTCTCGCCAGGAGAGTCGCTTTGAGAGAGCTATTAATTCCAGAACATTCCACCACTCCAAAAAGAACCCTGTCCCCATTAGCAGTCACCCTCATCCCCCCACACTTTGAACCCACTTCCTGTCTCTGGTCGTGCCTGTTCTGGACATGTCACGGACCTGGGCCTTTGCTGCCCAGTTCTCAACTGAGCACCACGTGGCCCTGTCCCCATGAACTCTGATGCCGTCGGTACACTCAGTGCGTGTCGGCTATAGACTGACCTTGGGAGGGCCCAGGCCGTTACGGAGTCCAAGATGATTTTCCCTCCCCCAGAACCAGTTGTCGCCTCTTAGAGAGTACTGTCGTCAGCCAGGGAACCCGGGTGGGGGACGGGCCTTCATAGCGCAAAGGCCGGTGGTCTGGCTGGAGGGAACCTGCCCAACCCCCCCACAGGGAGGGGGCGTGAGGGTCCTGGTACACGTGCTGAGGCTGGACAGAGGCCAGGTACCTGCTGGGTACGGGGCTGTCGTAGCGAGCCTGAGACCCAGCAGGGCCTCGAATTTCCAGGGTCTCGGTCCTGTGCAAGTTGGGGTGCTGTCAGTCTGGGGTCCTGAGCAGAGGGGCTGGCGATCCCGCGGTGCTCTGAGTGGACTGTGGCCAAGGTCGGGAACAGGCAGAGTGGACCACTGCTGCTCTGAGAGGGTAGCGTGGTGCCGTGCGTGGCCATGGAGGTGACGACAGGCAGAGTGGACCACTGCTGCTCTGGGTAGCGTGGTGCCGTGCGTGGCCATGGAGGTGACGGCCAGCCCTGTCTCGCCCGCCCGCAGTGGCTGTCACACGGCGCAGACTCCAATGGGAGCGGCATCTCCGTGCTGCTGGAGCTGGCCCGGCTCTTCTCCAGGCTGTACACCTACAAGCGCACGCACGCAGCGTAAGTGACATGGGGGGCGCTGCAGCCTGACACCTGCAATGGTTCTGTTTGTCTGGTGGCCTTGGGGCAGTGCCAACCCCAAGACTGACAGTGTCTGTGTATCCAGGGCTTCCGTGCGCCAGGCCCTGCCCACACCCACCCCCCGGAATCCCACCCAGGAGGCCCCGCTGCCCTTAGTCCCCAGAGGGGTGGGGATGCTTTCAGCTGCAGGTAATAGAAACTCTCAAAGAAGAGCTCATTAAACCAGGGTTCCCCCGCCCGTGTCGGCACTGTGGGTGCTGGGCAGATCGTTCCTGGGTGGCTCATCCACACACCATGCTGCCCGGGCCAGAGGGGGCTTGGCCAGGGTGACGGTCCCTTAGAGCCTTTGTCACCAGGCTCCACACCCCGGGTGGCTGAAACAGCGACACTTGTGCTCCCCGTTCAGTGTCCCCCTGGAGGTTCTGGGGCGTGGTCCTTCCCGCCTCCCCCAGCTCTGGGGGCTGCCTGCAGTCCTCGGAATCCCTCGGCGTGTGGCCGCGTCACTCCACTGTCCGCCTCCATCCTCACGTGGTCCTCTCTTTCTGTCTCTTGGAAGGATGGCTTTGCCCCTGGCAGGGTGGGTGGGGCCCGCTGTGCCGGCCGCAGCCGCGGCTTCAGGAAAGCTGCCGAAGCCATGTTCCTTTTTGTCCCCCTGGGGCTCCTTCCTGGCCGGGTGGAGCCAGGTCGTCTCCTGTGTTCAGAGCTCAGAGAAGCCTCTAGATCAGTGGTCCTCACCCAGGGTTGACCCTGCCCCCAGGGGACACTGGGCCATGGCAGGGGACATCTGTGGGTGTCCTGACTAGGGGGCTTCTGGCATTGAGTCTAGGGGTGCTATCCAATCCCCACAGGGCCCGGGCGGCCCCACAGAGATGGCCCGGTTCTGTCATAAGCAGTGGGGGGAGAGGGAGTCACTGCCGTAGCGGCTGGTCAGGGTTCTGTCCCCAGGGGACCATGTCCTCCTCATTGGGAATTTGAATACTCTGGCCATGGCTGATGGCTCTGCTTGGCCCCCCCTCCCCCCCAGGTATAACCTCCTGTTCTTTGCCTCTGGAGGGGGCAAGTTTAATTACCAGGGGACCAAGCGCTGGTTGGAAGACAACCTGGACCACACAGGTTAGTGGCCCCCAGCGGCCTGGGACATGGGGTCAGGGACCGCAGAGGGGTGGGGGCCCGGGGTTTCGCCCTCCCCCGTCAGCTCTTGCTGCCCACAGATTCCAGCCTGCTCCAGGACAACGTAGCTTTCGTCCTCTGCTTGGACACCGTGGGCCGGGGTGACAGCCTACACTTGCACGTGTCTAAGCCGCCCAGGGAGGGGACGCTGCAACACGCCTTCCTGCGGGAGCTGGAGATGGTGGGTGCCCTGGGGGTGAGGGAGCCTTCTGGACAGTGCCAGACACTTGCTCACTTCACAGACAGGCCCCCTGAGGCTCTGAGGGGTGACAGCGCATCACGGGCCAGGCCAGGGACATGAGCCAGGCCGAGACGTCTGCCCCATTGCCCCTCGTTAGCGAGTGGTCATTGTCACTTGGGAATCAGACTGGGTGCTCTGCACACCTGGGGCCTTGAAGGGACCTCAGTTGGGTTTCTGGGGGCCAGTGGTTTCTCCCCATTTTCCAGATGTGGGCGGTGTGGGGAGGAGCTCGTGTCCCTCCACAGGCCGGTGGGGTGCGGCCGGCCCAGGAGGCTGGGCACTGGGCGACCCCACGACCACCTCGCCCCGCAGGTGGCCGCACACCAGTTCCCGGAGCTGCGCTTCTCCATGGTGCACAAGAAGGTCAACCTGGCGGAGGACATCCTGGCCTGGGAGCACGAGCGCTTTGCCATCCGCCGGCTGCCCGCCTTCACCCTGTCCCACCTGGAGAGCCACCGCGACGGCCAGCGCAGCAGCATCATGGACGTGCGGTGAGCACAGCCCCGAGGCCTCCCCATACTCCCCCGCTGCCCGCCGGGCCCCGTGGACGAGGCACATTCTAAGTCGTCTCTTCCAGAGCGAGGGCGCCGGCGGGGAGTGACCCCACCACACAGGTGGTGGGCAGGGGCCAGCACGGGCCTGGCAGCGGACGGTGGCTCACCTGGGCTGCTCAGCAGGGGTGCTGGGGACACGGGCGCCTCAGCCAGTGGTCTGGTATCCTCTGGGCTCTGTGCATGCCCCGAGCACCTCAGCACCCCCTGCGGCTCTGCCCCTGGGCCCTGGCATGGTGGCCTGTCCCCTTCCCGGGCCCCTTGTGCCTTTCGGGAGCCTGCCCTGCTCACCCTCCTCACTCACTGTCTCTGTGGTGCTGGCGCCGCTGGCTCACGCTGTTTTGGGAGCTCACGTCCCATTCGTCTGCCCTGCTGGCATGGCAGCCCTCAGTGGGCCACAGTTTTATGGTGGCTTCGGCTGTTGAACCCTGAGCCTGGGATCGTCTGCTGTGCCCTCTTTCGCTAGCCCTGGGCGGTGGTGTAGCTACTGGACACGCGTCTGCTGGGGAGATGCGGTGGTCTTGGAGGGGGCCCAGCCCAGCCTGGTGACAGGCGAGGCCCAGAGAGAACAGGCATAGCGGGGACGTCGGCTGGTCCTGGGGCACTGGGGAGGCTTCCTGGAGGGCTTTTTGGAGGAGGTGGCACTGAAGTCGAGGGACGTGAGCCAGGGCGCTGCAGGTCAGAGGGAGCTGAGAGCAAAGGAGAACTGAAGGGAAGGACGCCAGGGCCGGGAGAGTGAGTCCCCTGCCTCCCCCACGAGGCCCCAGCACCTCACAGCCACTGGGGTCAGTGACATCGTTCCCCCAGAGTTCCTCTGGCCGGGGTTGCTGGCAGCCCTTGGTGTCCCTCGCTTAGGGCCACATCACCCTGGTCTCTATCTCTGTTGTCACGTGACCATCTGTGTCCACATTTCCTTCTAATAAGTTCACCGGCCATCGGATTTAGGGCCACCTCCTGCAGTGTGACCCAACTGATCCCGTCTGTAAAGACCCTGTTTTTAAATTGGGTCACGTTGTCAGGTTTGGGCGGGTGTGAATTTTGGGGCACACTTCACCTCACTGCTGGGTGTTACAGCGACTCTGCCCTCCGTGGAGGCCGTGTCCCCCAATCCCCGTTCCAGGGGAGGAAACTGAGGCCTGGGGCGTCCAGTCATTCCAGGCGGATGCGGGGAGCCAGCCTGCCTCCCGGGCCCTGCAGGCGACCCCCCGGGGTGCGGGCCAGCCGGCACCCACCCTGCCCGAGGAGGCTATGGCTTTTCCTGTCTGTCACCATCAGCCGTGCGGTCGCCCTTGTGGTCTGGTGTTTTCTGGCGATTGTAAACGATGCCGATTCCAGGTGGATGTAGATTTCTCTCACATGTGCCCCCGAAGGTCCCGGGTCGACTCCAAAACCCTGACGCGCAACACGAGGCTCATCGCGGAGGCCCTGACGCGGGTCATCTACAACCTGACCGAGAAGGTGAGGCCCCGCGGCCGCTCCTGCCCCGGGCCATGCCGCCCTCCTCCCCGTGGACCGAGGCTCAGGCCTGCCCTCCCTCTCCCTGCAGGGGACCCCCGCGGACATGCCGGTCTTCACAGAGCAGATGGTAAGCCTGGGCCTGGCGGGCGGGGCGCAGGGCGCGGATGGCCGGGGCCGCGTGGCCACAAGCACATCCCTCGCAGCAGATCCAGCAGGAGCAGCTGGACTCGGTGATGGACTGGCTCACCACGCAGCCACGCGCCGCCCAGCTGGTGCACAAGGACGGCACCCTCCTCAGCACGCTGGAGCACTACCTGGGCCGCTACCTGAAGGAGGTGAAGCAGCATCACATCAAGGCTGACAAGCGGTGAGTGCGGGCGCCACCCCTGCCCCCCGCCCTGCCCCACCCACGCGCACACCGAGCGGGCTTTCCAGAGTCACGCGCACGCGCACGCGCACACGTGCACATACCCCGGGCCAGATCAAGCAGATTCATGAGATGTGGAACGAAAAATAGGGTGATAACTAGAAAATACGGAGCGCTCAGTTCAGTTTGAGTTCTGGATACGCATCACGTTGTCTTGTTTCTAGTTTACCTCACGCAGTGCTTGGGGTGTGTCTGTGCTAACAGCCTGTTCCTTGTTTGAGACCCACACAGAGCTGACATCCCGTTTCAGAGCTGGCAGCCCTGTCCCCGACCCACCCTCTGATGCTTCTGTGCTCCGGGAGTCAGGCTGCTTGTCCCTGGGTCGCTGTCCACTTGCGGGGTGCTCCTTCCCACCACCAGCCCCCCGGGTTTTGCCTTTTTTCTGCTCAAGATTGAGCTCCCCACTTGAGCTGAACAGGCGCCTCAGGGCCTGTGGTAGGAAGGCGCTGTGGGTGGCCACAGGCAGGAGACGTCCCCAGACTGCTCGGCGCCCTCGCTGGCCTCTGCCTTCTTCCCAACTCCTGGTGCCCCAGGAGACAGTGCTTGGACAGAAGACACAGGCTCAGAGTGGACCCACAGCCATGGGGCCGGGGTCTCCGATTCCCAGGCCGGGGTCACCCTTCCTCTATAGAAATGCTTCCTGGACCAGGAAAATTCCTGGTAACCATGTCTCATTTTTAGAATACATTTTAATACCCACAACAACAGACAAGATGTCACTTCAGGGTAATGGACAGAGTAATGGAGAGGGACACTGGCTGCCTTGAGCAGACATGCACACGGGGCGCTTCCTGCTGTGTTCCTGGGCTGGTGGGACCTCTGGCTGGTCTGGCGCAGGGCCAGACGTGGCCGGCCGCCGGGCTGAGCCCACTGAGAATGCGCACTCTCCCCAGGGACCCCGAGTTTGTCTTCTATGACCAGCTGAAGCAGGTGATGAACGCCTACAGGTGAGCTGCACTGGGCCAGGGGCCTGTGTCCCCCTGGGTCACTTCCCAGGGGACTGTAGTCCACGGGACAGCCAGGGAGTGGTGAGGCTGGCATCACCTCCGTGCTGGCTGACCCCGTGGCCCATGCCCTCCCCGGGCCCCTGACCCCTCCCTTCCCCTCCCTCCAGGGTCAAGCCAGCCATTTTTGACCTGCTCCTGGCCGTCTGCATCGGCGCCTACCTCGGAATGGCCTACACGGCCGTGCAGGTGAGCGGGCAGGGCTCGGGCGGGAGGGCGGCCTGGCCGGGCACGTCCTGCCCAGAAGCAGGTGACCGCACAGGCGGCCCTGGGGCCTTTCACGGTGGGGTTTATTCCCGACCTCACGTGACCTCACTGGCGCCCTCCTGGTGCCCCCAGCACTTCGACCTCCTGTACAGAACCGTTCAGAGACTGCTGCTGAAGGCCAAGACGCAGTGACGCAGCCCCCCCGCCCCCCACTGCGGCCGGAGGGGCTCCCCACAGCCGCACCCCGAATTACAGAGCTTTTCTGTGTTGCTCTTGAGGACTTGGGGGATTCTTTGTTTTGTCCTTCGAACTCCCTCAGAGGAGCAGCTGGTGGCATTCTGGGGCCTGGCCACGGACTTGGGGACACGCCGCGGATGCGCCCTGGCCAGGAGGCCGGTCCTGCAGCCGTCAGGGTGCCGAGCGGTGACGGAGCTCCCAGCACAGCCTCATGCCCTCTCCCGCCCGTGACCGGCCGCAGACTGTAGGCTGGCGCCTGTGCTGTCCTCCGCGTGTCCCCTTCCCCGGTGACTCGGGTGCTCTCCTGCTTGTCTGAGGGGGGCAGGTATGGCCTCTGGGTCCCTGGGTTACAGCTCCTCCCTTGGAAGCCTGTGGCCACCACCTAGGCCAGGGCTGAGGGGTACGTCTCCCCTGAACCCCGTCTGGTGCCCTGGAGACAGCAGCCCCCCCCCACCGCCTCGCGCTGCACCCCGGGGACCGCGAGCACCTCCGCTAGGCTGTCTTCCCTCTTGGGGCCCAGCCGCGGGCCCCCGGGGAGGCGGTCCTCGGGGGGGCCCTGGGGGGCAGAGGCCCCCGCTCTGCTGACTCGCTGCTTCGTGGCTCCTGGGCCGTTTCCTCATCTGTGAACAGGAGGGCGTGTCCTGGGGGAGCGACGTCCAGTTGGGGATCGAGGGAGAGTGTTTCCTGGGGACACGACTGGGGGACCCGGAGGACAGGTGTGGGTTCAGTGGGAGCTTGGACCAAGCCCTCACCCCACAAACCAGGCGCCTCACGGGCCACGAGCTTGGGGGCGGGAACGGGGCCGCCAGCGCCAGGGGACCTCAGGGAGGCCTGAGTGTGCCAATTCATGAGCAATACGATCAGTTAAGTGCTAAGGGAGCATCTCTACCACCAGGGAGGTCTGAGCAGCCCGAAGGGGCTTGGGGACTGGCCTTCCCACCCCTGCCCAGCCTGCTGCTGTCCCCTCCCGGAGCCAGCTAACTGGAGGGACAGGGCTTCTCTGGGGGTCGTGTCCCCACCTCTGGCCCACCCCACCCCCTTTGCCAAACCTGTCTTTCTCCTGGGCAGGGCTGGCTCTCCTGTCCTCCAGCCTCTCAGGCCCCAGCTGGTGGCCAGGCCTGGGGGTGCGCTGGGGGCGGTGTGGGGGCCGCAGGTTCTTTTCTGCCTCATGCCCCCTTCGCTCTGCTGGTGGCCCATCTCCCCTAGGGATTTTACCAAGTGCCCGGCCACTTCTTGGGATTCATGCCGCAGGGGTGGGGGGCCTGGGTGGGCTCACCCTCAAGCGTGGTGGTGGAGGGGGCAGTGTCTGGGGTTGCTGAGCGAGCCCCCCCACCCCAGGGCCACTTCGCAGGATGGTTCGGAGCTCCGGTCGGGTGTAGGACACAGGTGGACAACCAGAAAATAAAGCCATATTGAACAGTCGCCCTCCGTGTTCTGCCCGGGCTCCTGGGGTGTGGGCGGGTCTGTCCCCGCGCTCCTCGGTGTGCGGTTCACGCTCCCGTCTCTGTCTCCATCTGCTGTGTGTCACTCCAATCGGGCCGGTCATCGGGTCTGGGGCCCGTCCCACTCCATTTCAACCATCTCAACGGACAACATCTGCAAAGACCCTCTTTCCAAGCAACGTTTCATTCTGAGGTTGCCAGGGGACACCATTCGACCCCTACGGGGTGGGCAGCAGGCTGTGGGAGGCTCCCCCACTGGCCAGGCCCACCCTCAACCCTAAGCCAGGCTCCAAAGAGGTCAGCTGGGGCGACAACCGGATGCTCAGTGCAACTTGTCCCTGCCTGTGGGGGGCCCAGCCCCCCACTCCAGGCCTGGGAACTGCAAGATGCAACTGTCAACAAAAACTGCCTTCAGGAGCTTACCTCGTTGGGGGGCGGGGAGGGGGACGAGGGACCCCAGACAAAACGGGGTCTTGGGGACGCGTGCTGCTGGGAGGTGCTGTTTAGACGGGGCTTCAGGGGCGGTTGGAGGAGGTGAGCTGTGGGGTCTTTGGCCTGGCGGGAAGTGGGAGCCCATGGGGCTGTGGGCGGAGGGGCCCAGGTGACGCCGGTGCTCACGGGCACCCTCTGGTGGCTGCCTGGAGGAGGACAGGGCGGGATTTGGGGGGATGAGGGCGGCACCTGGTGGAGCAGACCAAGGTGAGCCGACCTCCCCAACAGGCGCTGGGTTCCCAGGGCACCGAGGGGCAGCCACGAAGGCGATTTGAGCCGTGGCTGAACCGAGAGGGGACTGCTGGGGTTTCCTTGGTGGGTCCCCTGTCCTCAGGTCACGGCTGCCTCCTCTTCCCTTTGTCCCTCTCCCTTGCCCTCCGCCCACTAAGGCCACAATGTGGCTTTGGCCTCAGTAAAACTCCCCAGGGTTTAGAGGAAGGGCCAGCCCACCTCCTCATTAACTAACAGGCCGATACTTCCTTTCCTTTACACAAAAAGTTCCTTGACCGTAACCAGGAGAACGAAAGCCACCACCGACCCCAGCTCGCCAGCACCATGCCCCCGTGTTTTCCTCCTGTTTCCCGGTGTCCCTGGGTTTGTGTACGTGCAATCTCGTTTGGGTCATAGGAGTCATGACAGTTCTCAGTGTTTCTCTTTGCACAGCTGTCTGTAGGTGTCACGGGACACAGTGAGAGGCAGGCCCGGGAGCCATCGCCCCGTCCAGGTCATGAGCAGCATCCTCCCCTCTCCCAGCGCCCTCCTTGTCCCCAGGCTGCCGCTGATCTTGTCACTGCAGATGAGTCTCATGCGACTGTTAAGTTCACCGATATTTGGCCCTCCCATTGTGTGCCGAGAACAGGGACCCTGTCCCAGCTGCCCTGGGGCTTGACGTCCGCTGGGGGGGACAGGTAGTAAGTAAAAGTAGCTTGAGAGGCAGTGTTGGCTCCCTTTGGGGTGCAGGTGTTGCGGAAAGTCAGAAAGTTGGAATGAGAGATTAAGCCCTGGAAATTGAGGACAGTGGCCCAGGCAGAGGGCACAGCCCATGCGAAGGCCCCGGGGCAGGACCAGGCCTGGAGGGCGGGGTGGGGGAGGTGTCAGCCCCTAGACCGGCCTTGCGAGCTGTTTGCATTTCACCCTCAGTGCGATGGGGAGCCGTGGGGGGGGGGACCGTGGGGCGGGGGCAGCCCCCGGAGAGGAGGCTGTGGACCTTACTCGCATTTGGCAAGGTCACGCTCCGTGAGGACACTTGCGAAGATGAAATGCGACCAGGCCGCCCGTGCCAGACACGTCACGGTTCGTTCCGTGGGCTCCCTCGGTGCCGCGAGCACCACCTTAGGTCCCCATCAGCCTGGGTGGCAACGAAGCTTTGGGTAAAGGCGTCTTCCAAGGAGGCTGGTGCATCTGCCACCGGCAGCCCAGAGGGGTCCCATCCAGCGGCTTTGACCTCTTCCTGGCAATAAAACACTAGCCAACGCTCCCTGGAACCGCCTCGTGTGTCCCCCTCCGGCCCAGAGGCATCGTCCGCCGTCTGCGCCCTTTCCATTCATTTTCGCGTGGACGTTCACGAGTGCGCTGGCGGCGGGCGGCGTTTTCTTCGGCGCCGCGTGCGCGTCTTGCGTAGGTAGCCTGCCGTCCTCGTCTTGCGTTAACTCGTTTCCGTTCTGCACGCTCGTTCGCCGTCCTTCACACGGCCGTCTAGTACTCTGTCCTCAGGAGACACGCCGTGTCATCTACCCAGTCCCCTGCCGAGGGACACAGTTGTCGCCCAACTTTCCATCGCCACGAACCTTCGTAGATGCCTTGTGGCCACCGGGAGGGGATGTTTAACCAGAGGACAGGAAACTGCCACCCGTGGCCTAGTCTGGCACGCTGCCTGTCGTCACTGAAGTTTGATGGGCGCACGGCCACGCCCACTGAAGTTTGATGGGCGCAGGCCACGCCCACTGAAGTTTGCTGGCGCAGGCCACGCCCACTGACGTTTGCTGGGCGCACGGCCACGCCCACTGGGTCGCGCGTCGCCGGTGGCGGCTTGCACACTGCGTGGGCACAGCCAAGCGGTCGCAGGAGCGACCGTGCGGCCGCCGAACCCGAAATGTTCACCGCCCAGTGCGTTTCGGGAAAATCGTGCTATTTTCTTCTCTTTCGTAGTGAAAAGCTTTGGCCAAGACCAGCCAGCAACACGGGTCCCTTTTGCAATGGACACACGTGGGTGGCTTCTTTCAACATTTCAGTCTCGGTTCTGAGAGTCACTGATGACCTTAACCACCTGTTTGACCTACAAAAGGTCCAGAGCAGGTTGAGCCGGGCCGCTGGGTGGGGTGCATGACGAACATGGTTCCGAAGGCCTGGCCTGCCTTCGCCATCGGCCCACGTCACAGGGCATCCTCAGTCCGCTCCTGGCACTGCCCGGGCCTGAAGACTCAGGACCAAGGATGGGGAAAGCGACAGCGATGCTTGCACCCGGGGCCACACCGGTGCCAGCCCGTAGCTGGGCAGGCCGTGGGGCAGCTTACCTGCGCGGCTTCAGCGGGGAAATGGGGTGCGTGGCCCACACTCCACAAACATCACCTCCTTTCTGTTCCCTGTTTATTGTGATGTTGTTTCATATTTGCAGAGATGTTCTAGGAACAGTCCCAGAGCTCTCTAAACCCTCTGCGTACCCTGTAAATGGCGTTTCTGCGGGATTGGGTTCAGCTTATGCATTTTGGAAACGGGGGCGGGCATGTCACTGAACGAAGTGAGTAGTGGGATGTCCTTGGCCCTCTCCACTGGGGGGTCACTCCTGTCCCCTTGGTGACTGATGTGCCAGTTGGAGACCGATACTTTGAGACGGCGCCAGTCCCCTATTGCTCCTCAGACGTCACCCTCAAGTTTCCGCGCCTACCGGTGACGCCTGCCCGAAGCCGTGATCACTCCAGTGGCCGCCACGTGGGGACACTTCTTATTCCGTCCCTCCTTGTACATCGGGATCACATTGCCGCTTCTACTTACGACTTACAGAGGACAAAAGGGAAATTCGGACAGGTGAGCTCTGAGGTCTTGTGGCAAAAAAGAGGCAGAGTTGGCACTTAGAGTTTTTTGTTTTAAAAAAAAAAAAAAACCAGCTTTGTTGCGGTATAGTCACATACCGTAAAATCGACCCTTTAGCTGTGTGCCACTCAGTGATTCTTAGTGCAGTCACAGAGTTGTGCAACCGAGCACCCCTGTCTTGTTCTAGAACATTCCATCACTCCAGAAAGAGGCCCTGTCCTCATTAGCAGTCACACACACCCTTCCCCAGCCCCTGGCATCCACTGCCCCACTCCCTGTCTCTGTGGACTGGCTCTTTCTGGACGTGTTGCATACGTGGAATCCTACAGCGTCTGAGCCCAGGCAGCTTCGATCCCAAGTTACGGTGACACAGGGCCTGGCTCATTTGGAAATGAGACTGTGTTTCCCCCTTTCTCATCCTAACTTTGAAAAAAAACCCACTGAACACTCCCAAGTTCAATGTGGCCCACAGAGGGTGAGGCATCGACTCCTCTTGTTCCCCGGGATAGAATTTGTCAGCCCTGTGGGACAGGTGTCCCCACTCCCGGTCAGGCTGTGGCTGGACGGGTGGGGCCACATCCAAGGAGGGATGAGGGAGGGGCGGGGACAGCCAGGTTGTGCCTCGGACGTCACCCCCACCCTGTCCAGGGCGTGGGACTTGGTGACAGAGGGAGCAGCGAGGAGCGGGCTTGGTGAAGAACCCTTTCTCATCCCTGAAGCCAAATGGGGGGCCGGGCCCCTGGGAGGACCCGGGTGGAGGCTGGGGTTCCTGCACCAGGCAGCTCCTCCCCATGGGAGGAGGGGCGTGGGGGATGAGGGGGTGGCGACCAGAGCTGGCTGCTTTGTGTCCGTAGAGGTGTGAGTGCAGGAGGCATCTGGGACACGTGCAGACTTCAGTGTGTGCTCCCAGGGGACACATCCCTCGGCCCTGCTGGGGTCGGGGTGCTTCAGCCCCTGGGAATGTGCTTGAAGAGCTGTAGGCAGCCTGGGCAGCCAGAGTGTGGGGGACTCTGAGGAGCAGGGCCAGCGGGCAGTGGGGATGAGGCCGGCCACCCCTCAGACCGCCAGAGGGCAGAGGCCCTGGCACAGGGCAGCCCCAGGCTGGGCCCCTGTGGGCCCCTGTCCCACCCGCTGACCCTGTCCGTCACCTCCCCCTCAAGCAGGAAGCCAGGACGTTGGCAGAGGGGTCAGCCATCGGACACCCAGAAGGTACCAACATCCATTTCTCCTTCCTCGCCGAGGGGTTCAGCCCTTTTCACACCCATAACCCCAGAAATAAGAGTCTTGTTGTGAAAAGTCGGGACAGGAACACAGTGGACACCTCCCCACACCTTTGCTGCCCATTGCCTGAAGGCTTGTGGGAAATGCAGAGTGACATCTGGGAAGAGCATGGCGGGCCCCGCTCCTGACCCCAACCCCGCCCTTCCGCCAAGGTCAGCCCCTCACCTGTCCACATCT